GTCTAGTTTACAGCATTTTTGTGTGGATATCTAGAGGGAAACAAAAATAAAAAATAAATCAGGTATGAAAACAGCAACTCGTGAAAAATTAATGCACTAATAACACGAAATCCGTTTAAGATCACAGGGAACAGAAAAGGCTAACTATGCAAAGAGATATAGCCATTAGTCGCATTTCTGGAGGAATTACAGCCGTTTAGTTGAAAAATAGACCAATTAGCTTATTTAAAAATTCTCTTATGATAATCTTATGCCAGAATTTCGTATACTAGATGAATCCTATATCGTCTCGAATATTATTTCGATTTCATGAAGATAATTCTAGTTATCAGCCTAAAAAAATAATCATTCGGGAGATGGAGAATTTCTTAGTAAATTAGAGTGTCAGAATCTTGGAAATATTTTTGTGAATTGGAACTCTACTGATAGTATCGAAGTGTAATCAATTCAGAAATATGTCCGTGAATTCTTAGTCGATTCATATAGGGTCTTCGCATATACTATGAACTACGAGTTGAGCTATTAATTTTATATTTTCTTCATAAGAATAAGATATTCTGGACACAACTAGAAAATAAAACTTGGTCACACCATGGATGGGTTGGATGCCTATTTGTGTCTGACTTTGACACATGAACGAGCAAGAATGCTATGCGTATCCCAAATGTGTCCTTAGTTGGGATTGCTGGAAATTCGACATTTTTACCATTCGACGTAACCAAACGAGGCTGAACATTTGGATGAGAATACACTTTTATGGTAGACAGAAAAGAAAGTATTTGACCAAATTTATCGTAAACAGACCAACTATCTATGCATCATAATACCAGTCAACAAATAGAGTCCCTTAAGATTCAATGTGCATTATATACATTTGACAGTGGTAAGTACAAGTGCTGAGGGGAAAATGGGACAGGAGGCGAACTCTGGCCAAATCATTGACTAAAAATTATTAATCTAAATTAAAGAATGAACAAGGCCAATATTTCTAATATAAAGGCAGGATTTCGAGGAATGCCGTTGAATCTTCGACTTCGAGTGAAAATGTAGGCTAAGGAGATTTGAAGGTAAAATGACTTGTGCAGCTAAGCCTATCTAATTGGTCTTGTTGTCTAAGAAGCGGCGAATCAAATTGAATCAATACAAATTTAGTAACATCCTCAGATCAGCAGGATAAAATTAAAAGCCCGCTTAGTTTCATGCGCGAAACTTGATTGTTCGATGTAGAGAAGCGATAGAAACTTTGAGGATAATTTTTCAATGAAAAATGAGCAAAAAATGATCACAGGGCATGAGGATACATTTAGGAATTTAACTGGTATTAAAAAAAGACAAGTAGACAAAAGAGCCTACCTGTCGCCTTATTTAAAGGCTTCATGGCCTGGAACCATAGTAAAAGCGAGACGAAGGCGGCTGCTGAATCAAAATCTTGCTTTGTTTGGCCTGATCCAACCTGTGACTTGGCGGAGGATTCAATGCGCTGCAGCTCACTTTGTAGATCCACCACTTTATCAGACATAAGCACCTTGTATAGTGCTTGCCAATCTGCACCCAGGCAACCAGCCACGGCATGCAGATCAATTTCGCCTCGGGCAATTGTATCTGGCGTCAGGACAACTTGTGAAGGAAATCAGAGGATGAAATATGAGAAAAAAGGTAAACAGTATATGCAGTAGATTACAGAGGGAAAAATTATGATAAAAAAATCATGTGGAGCTTCCAATGAAATTAATTCAGTTGATATGACAAACATAACTGATAAATTTCTTAAAGGAAGCTGAGATGGGATTTATCTATAGTTGAGTTCGAGCTATAGGTCAAGAACAGTCCAGCCTGGATCAGAATAATTTTTGGTAAGTAGGGCATCGTGAATCCCACTCATAGCAATGCCAAAAATTCAGCAATCAGTCCTTCATCACTTTATGCTACACAAAATGAATACAGGTCTTAATCAAGATCGAAACCTGTATAAATCTTTCCATTAAAAATTTGTGTATTAAAGATGCAAACTCTGATCAAGCCATTTTAATATTAGATATCTACCAATGACGAGAAAGTTTTAAAATAAATGTATCATTTTCTTTCAGTGGGAGTATTGCTGGGACTTATGCTAGTCAGAATTATTAGTCAATCATAGATAATTCTACTTCTGGAATACAACGCGAAGTAAAATAGAGCAGAGAAATCAAGCCATCTGTAATGAATTAAATATGAACAAGTAAATTAAACGTTGCCACTCGTAAAAATACTAATCAGAATTCAATCCTAAACATAATGCAATGCAGAATTGTATCGCATCATGGCTAAGTGGAAAACTACACAAGTGGAAGAAAAATATCTAAGCTAAATAATATCAGTCATCAGTCTCTTGAGAACGATAGATGATAATGACCATTAAAGGTTGAAGAGACTAAATGAGGAAGCAGCTAACGCAACAGCTCTCTACTGATACGCATACATTAAAGAAAAAGCATAAACAATAAAATGCAAAAGGTCGACAAAGTGGGTGAATGTTAGAGTAATTTTCGTTTGCTTTCAAAAGGCGAGTGCAAGGGAGTAACAAACTGGCCCCAATGAAAGCCGGAAGGAATGATTAAGGGTTGTGACTACAGGTTTGTTTAAATAATTCCTCGGCACATCGTCCCCCGATTCCGATGAATTCGTGCTGAGCTCTCGTCTGTCGTGTGGCAGATATGGTTAGATCAGGACACCATACATGATAACTCACCGAGAACGGTAGTCGGATGCAACCCTACATACTACTTATGGTCTTTGTTTATTTAATGAGACATTTGTGAATTGGTTGGCTATCTTACGTGTTCTCTGCATGTCTGAAGGTCAGTGAAGTGATTGCATACAACATGTGAAATTGATGCAGTTTTATCCGAAACGCCACAGCTTCACCTAACTTACAAGTATTCTTAATCCTGTAATGATGACTTGTAATTTGGCTTCATGGTAGATTGATTGTGCACATGTAACGCTGACAAGTAGTGAGGTGTTTATTCAATATGTTTGCCGTTTTAATGAACTCTAGATTCCTTACTTTTCTGCTTGCTTGTATAAGCCCCATATCCCGTTAAGGGTTTGGCTTTATGTTCTCGACCAGTTCTGATTTTTGCGCCCAAAAAAGTATTCAGGCTAATTTTACTCATATAACCTCTTATGCATGTGCCCGCATATGCATATGCCCCCAAAAAATGTTACTACGTGAAAGCAAAACCTAGCTCCGTCTACAGGGATATTAATGAGCATCAATTATGCATAAATAACACAAGAAAATTATTGTTATTTATGCAAATTCATAAGAATTCCTTATTGGAAAATGCCAGGTTTCGGAGACTTGTCTTGATTGATGACAAATAGGTCATGATTTTAAATGGACTTATTCTCTAGGAATTTAGGCTGACCACATTAACTTTGCTGCATGAAATCGTGTTAAAGGAATGTGTTCTTTATACGAAGAAAAATTGGGTTTCGAGGAATCTCTTGTTTCATAATTGTTGAGCTTACTTCCATTTCGAGT